GTTATTATATGTCAGCTCACTTGGTAGGTTAGTGCAATGTTATTATATGTCAGCTCACCTTGATAGGTTAGTGCAATGTTATTATATGTCAGCTCACTTGATAGGTTAGTGCAATGTTATTATATGTCAGCTCACTTGATAGGTTAGTGCAATGTTATTATATGTCAGCTCACTTGATAGGTTAGTGCAATGTTATTATATGTCAGCTCACTTGGTAGGTGAGACGACACATAATAACATCGACCTATCAAGTGAGCTGACACATAATAACATCGACCTATCAAGTGAGCTGACATATAATAACATCGACCTATCAAGTGAGCTGACACATAATAACATCGACCTATCAGTGAGCTGACATATAATAACATTGACCTATCAAGTGAGCTGACACATAATAACATCGACCTATCAAGTGAGCTGACATATAATAACATTGACCTATCAAGTGAGTTGACATATAATAACATTGACCTATCAAGTGAGCTGACACATAATAACATTGACCTATCAAATGAGCTGACATATAATAACATTGACCTATCAAGTGAGCTGACATATAATAACATTGACCTATCAAATGAGCTGACATATAATAACATTGACCTATCAAGTGAGCTGACATATAATAACATAGACCTACCAAGTGAGCTGACATATAATAACATAGACCTACCAAGTGAGCTGACATATAATAACATTGACCTACCAGGTGATCTGACATATGATAACATTGACCTATCAAGTGAGCTGACATATAATAACATTGCACTGACCTACCAAGTGAGTCGACACATAATAACATTGACCTATCAAGTGAGCTGACATATAATAACATTGCACTGACCTACCACGTGAGCTGACATATAATAACATTGCACTGACCTATTAAGTGAGCTAATATATAATAACATTACACTAACCTACCAAGTGAGTCGACACATAATAGCATTTTACTGACCTACCAAGTGAGCTGACATATAATAACATTGCACTAACCTATCAAGTGAGCTGACATATAATAACATTGCACTAACCTATCAAGTGAGCTGACATATATAAACATTCCACTAACCTACCAAGTGAGCTGACATATAATAACATTGCACTAACCTACCAAGTGAGCTGACATATAATAACATTGCACTAACCTACCAAGTGAGCTGACATATATAAATATTGCACTAACTTATCAAGTGAGCTGACATATATAAACATTGCACTAACATAAGATAATAATAAGAAATAATAACATAAGATTATAATAAGAAATAATAAAATAATAATAATCAAGGGTAAAAGAGCAGCCCAAGAGTTGGCGGTGGGTGGTGATGACTAGCTGCCTTCCCTCTAGTCTTACACTGCTAAATTAGGGACGGCTATCGCAGATAGCCATCGTTTAGTTTTGAGCGAAATGTAAAACAAACCAAACCCTTAAACGTAATTGTTAAAAAAAACGCCCATACAAACTGCAAAACAAAAAAAATGTGAAACTGAATATTTGCATATATATCTCCCCATGGACTCAGTGAACCTCCACTCCAAATTTGGTAAGGATCCATCTACAGGGGCGAAGTAATGGTAAAAAACGCCCATAAAAACTGCAAAACTGAAAATGTGTATGTACCTCGCATGAACCTAATGAACCTCCATACCAATTTTGGTGAAGATCCATCCACAGCTGGCGAAGTATACTTACATGAACAAACAACAGACAGTACTATTATATTTATATAGATTACGCTACATTCTTATTGTTAGTGGTTTAGTTGCTATGAAAGGTAACTGTTTTAAATGAGATAACTTGCACTCACAGAACATACACAGCTGATGAGTAAAGTAAACATGTATATACTACCCGCCCGACCCCTCCAAATATTACGGGTTGGAGTTTTGTAAACCCCTCCCCTGCAGGTGCCCATTGAAATAATTCAACGGAAATTTGGTCACTAAGTTTTGAACATTGGTCACTAAATATTTCATAACTAAAGGTTTCAGGGTGACTTTGGATACTAAACGTTTCAGAGTGGACATTGTTCACTAAACGTTTCAGAGTGAACATTGTTCACTAAACGTTTCAGAGTGATATTTTTCACTAAACGTTTCAGAGTGGACATTGTTCATTAAACGTTTCAGAGTGATATTGTTCACTAAACGTTTCAGAGTGATATTGTTCACTAAATGTATCAGAGTGGACATTGTTCACTAAACGTTTCAGAGTGGACATTGTTCACTAAACGTTTCAAAGTGATATTGTTCACTAAACGTTTCAGAGTGGATACTGGCACTAAGTGTTTCAGGGTGGCCTTTGGTCACTATTTCAAAGCAAATTTTGATCACTAAATATTTCACAGTGGTGAGCTTGGTCACTAAACGTTTCACAGTGGACATTGATAACTAAATGTTTCAGGGTAGACTTTGGGGACACTAAACGTTTCAGAGAGGAAATTGGTCATTGAATGTTTTACAGTGGACTTTGGTTACTTAATGTTAAGAAAGAAAGAAAAAATCGTAAATCACAAATATACGATTGATCATGGTGGTAGAAATAAATCTTTTTCCAATATGTTTCGTTTCATTTCCTTTAGTAGCCCCCTAGTGGCACAGCGGTAAGTCTACAAACTTACATCGCTAAAATCCGGGGGTTCGATTCCACGCGGTAAACACAACAGATAGCCCAATGTGGCTCTGCTCTCAATCAAACAAAAAAAAACACTCTCTTTGTTCTCATTTGCATTTGTCCATTTCCTTGTTTGAATCTAACATGTAGAGTTAAATCTCCAACTGTTATTTTAATTGTTTTTCTTTCACCTTCTTTTTTTCTCACTGGCTATCACACAAAATGAATAGTAACCGCAAGACTAGACTGAACTTTTCCGTCTTCTGCATGCATTTTCACTGACAATTTTAAAAGAAACGGCTAGCAGCAGTACAATGATGTAATGACCTTCAAGGAACATGCTTGGGAATATTAGTAATGATATTGCAACATCTTTAGAACAGTCAACAAAATAGAATTTACTGAGCGAAAGCCAGCTGTCAGTACAGACAGCGTTGAAGTGTCGTAACTCTCATTTTTCAGAGTTTTTCACCATTAGTCATAAAGTTCGCGAATATCAAATGAAGCTCATGTGAAATATAATAACAGCGACTGATACTGTGTAAAATTCTTTTCTTTCGGTGTAAATGTACTCAGTATGTTTGTTTGTTTGTAGTTAAGCGCAAAGCTACACAAAGGGCTATCTGTGCTCTGCCCACCACGGGTATCGAAACCCGGTTTCTAGCGTAATGGTTTCTAAGTAATGGTTAAGGCGCTCGACGGACTCGCAATCTGAGGGTTGCGGGTTCTAATCACCGTCATCGAATATGCTTGCCCTTTCAGCCGTGGGAGCGTTATAATGTGACGGTCAATCCCACTAGCAATAATGAATTAATGATAGTTATAAAAACTTATATACTTAAAGCAAGAATAACATAAACTAGGTTATAAAAGCAACAATGTAAAATAATAATATAATAATAAAAATAATTAAGTGAGCCGACACTTAATAACGTTATTGTGTAACTGCTCGAATAATAATAAGAAATAATAGCATAAGATTATAATAAGAAATAATAACATAAGATTATAATAAGAAATAATAACATAAGATAATAATAAGAAATAATAACATAAGATTATAATAAGAAATAATAAATCTGTGCTCTGCCCACCACGGGTATCGAAACCCGGTTTCTAGCGTTGTAAATCCGTAGTCTTAGCGTTGTGCCACTGGGGGGGGGGGCGATTATGAAAGGGAAACATATTTGTTATAACCCCACAGTTGTCTTTATGTTTATTATTAACAACCTGCTGAAGTGGTCGACCCTATCTTTGAACGATGCTAGTAGCCGTTGAAGTTCCTGCTTTTCCTATAGTTTATAATTTTGTGTTTTTTTTGTGATTAAATCAAATATCCACTTTACAATATTGAAAGGTCTCAAAAATACTTTTTTGGTGTAGTCGAAATATAACACTTTTTCATATATTAACCTTAAAGACGCTAATTAATAAATACACTGTATATTAAAACTGGACATAGTAAAATACTAATATTCTGGACGGTTGTACCATTACTCAAACTTACAGGTTATATCCCTGCAAATATGTTTTCACTGCATAGCTGTAAGGTATTAGCGAAAGTACAACATTTACTGATGTATTTTTTTTTTCTGATTTAAATTTCAAAAAAGGAAACAGTTAAACAATATTTTAACCTTAAAACTAAAATACACTTATAAATATTTATTATAAAATAATCGATAAGGCTAAACTGAAATAAGTTTCTGAAACATGTCGTACTTAGAACACTTCACTTGTACAACATAGGTGGAAGACTTTGCTGTTCAAAGTTCAAATATTAACTATTATTCGTCGACTTTTAGTTATTTTTTATAGGAGAAACAGAGTGATTAATTTGCCGTCACAGGAAGATTTGTTCGAGCACCGTAGTTGTCAGTACAAGTTACACGTTTTTAGAAATAATACCTAATGAATTTCTCGCCAACTTTCTATTTTAGGCTATGAATACGCTCTTTCTTAATAAGAGAGGTATCCTGTGTATAACTTCTCCTCGGCAAAATTTTATACTTGCGGAAACGTTCAGATCCACTGTAAATAAATTCATAATACTAGATCTTCCCGCGTAATGGATCTTGGTAGTAGTCTTACTAAACTTGTTATCCCTAACCACCTACTGTTCGTAAGTGATCTATAGACATTTAAGCTGAGTTTAGATGATGTAATGAGTAGGATTATGTAGAAATATATTACAGAAGGAAACAGATCACCTGAGTACGTTCGACATTTGATGTCTATTTAATGCTTCTTATACCCAAAACCTTCAAACTCACTATCTTTTCTCACGTGTCATTCCCACGAGTATCCCTTGTTAAAGAACACGTAGTTTTACGTGTCAGTACGACACAAAATTCCGGTGTTGCTCGACACTGTTTGATTACAGCACTGTTTCTAGTATATCGAAGAGTTTTTGGTGCAAGTGACTATACTATACAACAAGGTTTTCTGCGTCTTCTTCTCCAGACCATCTTTCGTTTCCTGCTAGTTCCGACGTCACTTCTTGAACCACTACGGGGTCGACATTCTTTGTCAGCATATAGAGAAGAAACCAATCCCCAAAATCACAGTGACGACAAATCATCTGAAGATCATTCTGAGCCGCTAGACGACATCGACCTTGTAAGAAACGTGATCGCAGTCTCCTGAATATCAGCACAACTAAACGACTAATAAGGACCACAATTGTGAGAATGGTAAGGATGATGAACCAAAACCAAATGAAGATATATATTTTCTCGTTGACAATATTTAAAGGAAGAATACACAAGACATCGTGTTTCTGCACGTCTCCAGAGTAACCAAACTGATGAAAACGACACTTGGTCATACGTGGGAAGATGAAAATCATCGGATCGACTCTCTCTTCTTGATTCATCTGTACAAACTGGACGACTTTAACGCCGTAACTAAAAAATTCGCCGTCCAAGAAGATGTTCATGAGCCACATCTGGCCAACGACGTTTATTAGACATAGACACTCACAAAGCACATATTTTAGAGCATAGAGCTTATGCATTCCCTTGTGCTTTGACAGGTAGTTAGTGACGATCTTTCTTTTCTTACCTTTCTCCTCTTCAGAGATCACGGCTACGTTCATCCCCATCGACAATGCCGTGATTAAACCACCTTCCCATATCTTCCAGATGTAATACGGTGTGTAGAAAAGTATTGCTTGAAGGAATAACACAAAACAAACCCATTGGTAATATGCGTAATGTTTCTCTGCTCCATTTTTAGAGTTATCTATTCCAGGATAAGGAACTTCAACTCCAATTTCTTTATGGAAAGCTTCTGGGACAGCAAATGTTGTGTGAATCCAACAATAAGCGTTGATTACTTCTTCCGGGATATTGTCTATCTCCATACACGCGATCGGTTGACCAACATATTGTTTAGCTGTGATCATTATACTAAATACCATTAATAAAGAAGAAGTGAACATCCAGTGTAACCGGAAGACAGCATTGTCGATCACTTCCGGGCGTCTCTTTAGGAAGTGTTTCAAAATACCAAAAAGATGTAACATGGCAAAACTTAAATATTACTCAAATCTATTCCAATAATTATCACCGGTTCAGTGGATTTTATGTTATTGGTGGTTGTTGCTCGCTGTATAATCTGTGGAAAGAAGAAAATAAACAATCAGTATAAAACAAACATTATAAAAAACAATTTCAAATATAAATCAAACCTCGTTGTAGTTTTATTTCCTAAATTCAGTTATATTGTTAGTGCTAGCTACATCTCAATACTTTTTAAACCTAGCTTGTCTTTATCATGTTCACATGTGCTCTCTTTTCATTATCTGGTTGTTTGACCCTAAAAAATAAAAACATTAATGTATAAGTCAGCAAGGATAACATAATATGATCTCAAGAAATATTGACCAAAATATCTTCGTGAGTGTGTGTGTGTGTGTGTGTGGAGGAAGGGGGGCATACAATGAACTTTACTCAGAAATTGGGGGAAAAAGTTTACATAAGAACTTGAAACATTTTAAAACTATATTTAAGAACTAGCTGGAGTACCAATTCCCTGGATGGAAGTTATATAAATTCATGATTAATGAAAAGTTATCTTAAGGCATGTAAAGTTGCTTCCCTCATAATTAGCCTCGATATAGCCAGGTGGTTAGGGCGCTTGACTCGCAATCTAAGGGTCGCGGGTTCGAATCCCCGTCCCACCAAACGTGCTCGCCCTTTCAGCCGTGGGGGCGTTATAATATATCGGTCAATCCCACTATTCGTATTCTTACATGGTTTTCTCGAATTGAAAATTAAGCCTAACCTGTAATATGAATCTGAATGTATTTGTTTGTTTGGAGTTAAGCACAAAGCTGCACAATGAGCTAAATGTTTCAATGTATTCCTCATGTAAGTCAGTTACAAAAACCTGCTTTCAGTTGAGGAGTTGATCCTATCATAATCTAATTTATAAAAGTAACGTTCAAAATGAAAAAGAACATTTTTAAACAACTAGTTGTATATATATATTTAAATTCTAGATCAGATGTTTAAATAACAGTTATTAAAATTTTACAAGCTTGAATAAAACAAGTTTTTAATTTTACATATCTAAAAAGAAGTTTTTAACAGCGTACCGAAACAATGAAAAAGTTAGTTTTTATCAAATTTTTCAGTATATAATAACCACTGATGCTAACTATACTTTTTTATTTAATAATTGATTTGAAAAACAAAAATTCTATCTTTCTTGCCGGTGTATTGGCTGATTTAAAAAAGGAGTAAATTTTTTGTTTACCATTTAATACATTTTAAGTACACATAGGTAACAAAAAAACAGAAATGATAACAAAACTTGCACTTACAAAACACAAACACGGGAAGTCACTAAAAACACTTTTTATTTGTGAAAAATATCAGTAAGAAAAATTTTTTAAATATACTTATAACCTTTCAAAGTTATTTTGTGGGTAATAATGAGTTATTTATTCCTTATAACTATGAAGATAAATGTTTCTCAACTAGTAAAATGAAACTGGATAAAAATGAAAATGAAACCTTCATCTAAAGCTTACATTTTTTAGCTCTTCTTTGGCTACCACGAACAAAAGATAAAAACACCTGGTCGAATGAGCATACTTTGTATAATAACTTCACCTTAAAGCTGCTTTTAGCGCCTTGTTTCACGTGAAAGGAGCAAATAACCAAGAAATAACTTTAAGCTGTTGTATTTAATTACATGATTATCAACCCAAAACAAACTACCACGTAGATTCTATTTGGCCTTATATTTTTACCATAAAAAAAACACATTTCTTTATTGCTTGAGAGAATGTATACGTTCTTTACCAGGAAGTATGCATGACATTTGGAGTATTTCTGGCACGTTACGTTGGCTCGTTTAGTGTACAGGTACTATGAAACAGGTACGAGTGACAAACACTTGTAAGAGCATCGCGTATCACAACATAGAACAACCATAGACAAACGTTAGTTTCGTATAGAAGTCACATTTGAAACGAAACTTGGAGAGACAAGTATAGAACTGAATTTAACTGCAAAACAATTAAATTAATCGTAAATTAAGGCAGGCTACAAGCAGATAACTCTCGTGTAGCTATGCGCGAAAGTTTGAAACAAACAACATTATGAGAAACGATTTTCAGTGAAGTTAAAATTATGTTTTCTTATTCATCAAAGATATGAGAACAGTGAAGCTAAACTTATATACTTTTTGACGTACTTGATGTTTAGGGAGGTCACTGTACTTACTATGAATGTTCATAACATATACTTTGATTTCTTAAATGTAAAAATCGTCGTGTGTGCTACATCTAATAAATTCCTTGAAATGCGTGAAAATGATTTATAGTCCGTAAAATTCCATGCGATGGGTCGCAGCACCGTTATTTAAGTTAAAATGAGGGTTGTACAACATATATGGAAAACCTTGCAGCACCGTTATTTAATTTAAAATGATGGTTGTACAACATATATGGAAAACCTTGCAGCACCGTTATTTAATTTAAAATGATGGTTGTACAACATATATGGAAAACTTTGCAGTACCGTTATTTAATTTAAAATGATGGTTGTACAACATATATGGAAAACTTTGCAGTACCGTTATTTAAGTTAAAATGATGGTTGTACAACATATATGGAAAACCTTGTAGCACCGTTATTTAAGTTAAAATGATGGTTGTACAACATATATGGAAAACCTTGTAGCACCGTTATTTAAGTTAAAATGATGGTTGTACAACATATATGGAAAACCTTGCAGTACCGTTATTTAATTTAAAATGATGGTTGTACAACATATATGGAAAACCTTGCTGCAGTGTTCAAAGTTTGCTGTGGGTAAAAACGTATTTCAAAAGCTCTCACTAATCTGAGTAGTCTGCGATAATATAATTAATAAGTACGGATCAATTAATTACTTTTTCTGGTCGAGAAAGGCTTTCAAATCGTATTTATATGCAGTCTTTATTATAAAGTGTACTTTCATTATCTAGCATTATTTCGATCAACGAACACAACAAACCCAATCGTAGTACTACATATGAGTTTAATAAAAGTATAACGTTGTGTTTCATTTTGTATTTCTCAAACGTTTCTACGAATAACGATTAAAATTTACTTAACAGTATTTGAAGACTTAGCTTTTGCCCGGCATGGCCAGGTGGATAAGGCGCTCGACTCACAATCTGAGGGTCGCGGGTTCGAATCCGCATCCCACCAAACATGCTCGCCCTTTCAGCCGTGGGGGCGTTATAATGTGACGGTCAATCCCACTATTCGTTGGTAAAAGAGTAGCCCGAGAGTTGGCGGTGGGTGGTGATGACTAGCTGCCTTCCCTCTACTCTTACACTGCTAAATTAGGGACAGCTAGCGCAGATAGCCCTCGTGTAGCTTTGCGCGAAATTCCAAAAAACAAACAAACTTAGCTTTTAAACTGATGACTTGTGTTTCTGATGAAGTGCTGTTACCAGTCAGAAAGCTAAGGATTCAAATAGGTTTTTACTGTGTCTCTAAATTTTCACTTTTTGTTCATCTGTGTGTGTGTGTGTCGCTTTAGCGTCGTTTTTCTTATTTTTCATTTAGTTACACACAAAAAGACTAGACTGGCCAAACACTTTAGATAGAAAAGAGTAATTTACTGCTATTGTTTATTTTAAGGTAAGCCAAAAAGACGTTTTTCTCGACCCTCTCCCAGGACTGATTCATAATCTTGAATAAACTTAATGATACCACCACGAGGGTTAACAAACGAATTTCATCATTACAACATAATGAATGGAAGTAAGCCAAATGTACTTTATCATCATTTAATGATACCACCACGAAGATTAACAAACGAATATCACCATTACCACACAATTAATGGAAGTAGGCCAAATGTACAGTTAACTTTATCATCACTTAATGATACCATTACGAGGGTTAACGAACGAATTTCATCATTACAACATAATGAATTAAAGTAAGACAAATATACAGTTAACTTTATCATCACTTAATGATACCATTACGAGGGTTAACGAACGAATTTCATCATTACAATATAATGAATGGATGTAAGACAAATATACAGTTAACTTTATCATCACTTAATGATACCATTACGAGGGTTAACGAACGAATTTCATCATTACAATATAATGAATGGATGTAAGACAAATATACAGTTAACTTTATCATCACTTAATGATACCATTACGAGGGTTAACGA